ACTCCCAAGGATGACCGGAGAAAGTCAGAACAGGCTTTCAAACTCAAGATGTGTACACTGGGTTTGGGGTCCCCTCCCCGACCTGGTTCCCCCTTGGCTAGCAGACCTCCTTTGTCCTTCGTCCCTAACTCATGCCCAGTACAAGCCATGACTCTATTGGTTTTTGTCTCATTTATTAGCCTCCCTGGCAGTTAAAAATGGCTATAATTATGGTCAGTTCATCAACACAATTTAAGATTAAAAAATGGAGAAAGGTTTTCTTGGAAAATTATTGCAGTTCTGACAAAAGAAGGCACATGCAATAGACACTGCCCTTTACTTCTCCTTCATGTTCCCAGTATGGACATGAGGGCTGGGTTGGGACAGCAAAGGTCTGGACAGCTTGCACAGGCTATGAAAACAATAGCCTACATTGCGCTGTCTATTAACACAAGAAGACTATAATCAGCAGACCCGTCGGTCTGTATCAAGATCGCATCTGTCACTTGGGCCCACAGTGTGGTGAGAAATGATGACAGGCCGCTCACAGGTTGTACACACCTGCTTGCTTCTTGCCCTGCTTAGTCACACTAAGAACGAGCGGGACAGCTTGTTGTGTGAGGACACAGAGAAGGCCATCAGCCTTTGTGCCCCAGCTGCCTGCCAGCCGAATGTCAGCTGTGTGAAGGCGACCGACCCTCTCGGAAAGCCCACCTTTGGCTGTCCTGCCAATCGACTGCAGCAAGATCAGCCATGTCTGAGCTCAGTAGAACCACTCGGCCCATAGGCTGGCTTTGAGAAGTACTAAACACTACTTTGCCAATGGGTTTGAGGGCAGCCAGCTACCCAGCAGTAGCTGAGTGATATGCCACTCAGCCTGGGAACCTGGGCCCTTTGAGCCCCAAAGAGAAAGTGCTGGTTTTTTTCTCTGTGGAAACTGATGACAAAAAGAATGATCTCCCTGCCCAGAGTTTCAAAGGCTGAATTTTACTCTCAGCATCAAGAAATATATGGCTTCTGTGGCTGGAGAGATGGCTCAGCAGTTAAGAGCACCCGCTGTTCTTGTAAGAGGACTTGGGTTCAGTTTCCAGCACCCACATGATAGCTCATTCTCATCTGTAGCTCTAGTTCCAGGGGATCTGGCATTCTTTTTTGGCTTCCATGGGCACCAGGCACACACGTAGTGCACATAAAATACATGTAGGCAAACACTCATTTAAACACATAAAATAAAAATAAGTAAATCTCAAAAGGAAGAAAGATATGGCTTCTAATTTACATAAAACTTTTGTTCTAATTACAAAACTTGTCTGGTGGCTGATTAATCAAAGGAGGGGGATCAGCTAAAGGCAACTACAAAGACAAGAGCGTGAGACTATATGAAAAAAGAAACACAGGAAAACACTGGAATAAAATAAATGGCGGCACGGATGACAGACTCCGGAAGCTGGCAAGGGGACTATGGTGCTCATGTCCTCGGCTGTTCTGCCAGCACTCAAGGAGGACTTAATCCCTGTGCCACAATGTCCGAGAGCTGATGTCCAGCAGAGAAGAGGACAAGCCGTCATCTCTTGGGGACCTGTCGTTCTGATGCAGCTGAGGGGACACAGATAAACAACGCATTAGATGGTGGAGTGGGTGGCATCAAAAGGTGTTGAAGCCTTTACCCTGGGTGCCTGAATGGCCTTATAGGGAAACAGATCTTTACAGATGTTCTCAGCCTGATCCAACATAACAGGTGTCCTAAGAGACAGACACAGGACAAGTGCCATGGATGATGGAGACAGGGTAGTGCTGCGGCCAAAGGAGCAGTGCCAGGGATTGATGGGAAAGGAAACGCTCGGAGGAAAGCAGGAAGCAGGGGCTGGCTTTCGCCGCCGTACAACCTTCTCAGACAACACGGCCTGCTGACATCTTGATGCCAGACGTCCCGGTCTCCAGAACTGGGAAGGAACAAACTTGTTTTCTGGGTGCCTGATTGGTAAATCAGGGAAAGAGATGGGGGAAGTTGAGGACAAGTCTGCAATTTAAGCAGAGCCACTTGGAAGTCCTGAAAATGTGAAGAGGGGATAGAAGGAATCCTGCGTGTGTCTGGGGAAGAGCGTGCCAAGCAGCTGTAAGAGCCAGGGCAAAAGCTCGGGGACAGGAGTGTACCCCACCCTCTGTGGCCGCTGCCAGTGAGGTTAGGGGATAACCCGGGAGAAAAGGTGTGAAGAGGGGGAGGATGGCAAGGTAGAGTCTAGAAGGTTAGCAAGGCTGTAAATTTTTGGTCATCAAAAAAGCAAGACACTAAGGGATACATGATCTGATTTCTTAAAAGTAACAACTTAAATATGTATGAATACATGTGTGGACATTCATGCATCTGAATCACTTGAAGAACCACCTGCTGTGTGGATAAGAACTAAAGGGGTAAGGATGGGATGCGGGAAACCATTTGGGAGTCACAACTTAAAAACAGACTGGAGGTAGAGGTGATTGGAAGGACCAAGGAGAGGAAAGGTAATAGTTTGGTTTTGGATGCTCCTGGCAGCAGCAGAGCCAATAGGGCAAAGGGATGGCGAAGGGAGAGGGCAAGGACTTGAAGGATTTCCCCTGAATCATTAAAATTGAGTTCCAAACTGAGGGCTCTTTTCTTGCCTGTAGTATTTAACATAACACCCCCTCGCTTTTGGGGGACAGGGGTTCTTTGTTTGATCCAGGCTGACTTGTACTGTTTGCAATTCCTCCTGCCTCAGCCTCCCCAGTGGTGGAATTACAGGCATGCACCTCGGTACACAGCTTAATGCACAGGCTCTCATCGTTGGCTGTGATCGCCACATAGACAGGCGGTCAGAAAACGCCAGGGACGAAACACGCCACTGAGGAAAGGAACTCAGTATGCACTACGGCTCTTCCACGTTGGTGCCACATTAGAAGCGCCAAGCACTCAGTAGGGTTTGCTCCTCCCTGGTACAGACCAGGAGCAGAGCCGCTCCCTGATGCTCAAAAAAAAAAAAGCGGAGCCCAGGTACGGCGGGCCCAAGCGCAGCGGGAGCAGAGAGCCAGCATCCGCTCGCGCTGCCCAGGCTCGCCCCGCACATCACATGCACAGGACACTGGGTCTGCTTCCGACTTCACCGGCCGCGTGGCCCCGTGGCGCATCCCAAACCAGGCGGGGCGCTCACGACTGCGGCGAGCCACGCGGGTCTCGGAGGCCAGGCTCCTGCCCGGTCACTTGACTGCACCGCACGGAACGCGCGAGCAGACAGACGTCCGGAGGGCGTGCGGGCGAATAGACCCGCACGACAACCCTCGCCGAGCCGGGCGGCGCCGTCGCAGCGGTTTCGTTTTCCCAGCCGGCCGAGTGGCCGGCGCGGAAACTTCCACCCGGCCGGCCTGCGGGC